ATTTTACAAACGCCATCTCCTATGTCTTGATTTTGGCAAATAAAAATAAATTGAGGCGCTCTTATATTTATATCGTGGCAATTAATTAATTATCAGTAATATCTAAACATGTTAATACAACATCGTAAACATGTTTAAGAATTACAGTACCAATCCAGATTAGCACCAGAGTGCCCGAAAAATATCAATTATGAGGAAGTTTTCATGAAATTGATTTCTTTCTGAACGCGAGGGGCGGGGGTGATATCTTGTCCCCTGGAGATGTATATAGAATTCCGCTCACTATGTCTACGTCACAACAGTTAAGTCTACCTGTCTTACAGCGTCATGCTGTTCGTAGGCCCAGACCAGACTGGCAGCTCCAAGGAAAACGTTTTTTCAGATGTTTTTGAACACAACAGAACACTTTAAAGCATAGTGGTAAATAAATAGGTAAATATGTCTATATATACCAGCTGCTTTAGCATTCAGAAACCCTGTATTTTGCCCACAAAATATATATGTTCATGTGATTCTCAGAATAAAGAGTGTTTTCCCCTAAACAGCATTAATTAATAGACCTGTACAGTGAGGACGCGGTGTGTTTTCTAAGAAGTGGGAACAAAATTCTTGAATAATATTTAAATTAGCTTTATGCTTCGAAGGGTTAAATACTAGTACGTCGCTTGTGACGTTTCTCCTGAGCTATGCTCTGCCCAATATGAGAGTGATCTACCGATGTGTTATTTTTCTCCACCGTTCAGAGTTAAAATTTCATCGTAGATTAATAACTCCCGTAGCTGATAAGTCATCATATATTCACAGTTTCACTCGCTTTTTATAAAACGGATCCATCTTCTTTCTGCTTTGTTTGTTTGCAAAAGCGCAGTTTCAGCCTTCCAGTCACCGGGTCGGCACAAACCCAAATGCCACCGCAGGTGATGAGAAATTTCCTTAACCCCCCATTCCCAGTTAAAATAGACCAACTTTCCCAAAATTTCGTCACAGTCAATAAGACAAAATTCTCAGACATGATAAAGAAAACCATAATTCATATCTCAACTCTTAAAACAGTTTTATTTATGTTGTTACATAACATGTTTAGATTACCGCCAATTAATGATCACAGTATGAAAAGAATATAAGAAAATGCATTGCAACCTTCGTAATCCGAAATAGTTACAGCAGTGATCCGGTAGAAGTGTAGAGTGTTTCAGTTAGCCGGATTTCAGATAATATATATATATATATATATATATATATCAATGAAAGCTTTTTATTAAG